CGGTTGGGCTGCCGCAGTCTCTGATTGGCTGGGCTGCCCCGAGGCAGACAGGTTTTCTCCCTCCAGCTGGATTCCTTCCTGTCAGAGATGCAGGTGTATGTCTCTTCCTGTTTGGAGTAATTGATGATACACGGCAGGGCAGGAGCGTTCTCCCTACATGCCAGTTCAGTTTTAGCTGCGATTTCTTCAGTTAATTCCACAGAGGGCAGGCTACAGGTGTGTAATCTGGACCCGGGCAGGCTTGGGGTTTGCTTCTGTGGTATTGATCCCTCTTGTATGTGCCGCTAGGTTTACCCATTTGAAATGTTCATGGTTCTCTGAAATTTTTCTCCTTAAGAAAATGTCTACAATACTTGTTTACAGTTGTACTCCCATTAGGATGCAAAGTCCCTGAGGGCAGGGACCTTTTTTGCCTCACACTTAGCATAGTCCTGGCCCAGAAGATGGACAAATTATACTGTTGTCAAATGAGTGACTGAAGCTGCCATCTTTTGAGCAACAAGGTCTTGTGAAACCTGGCAGAGCTGCAGATGATCACAGAGAAACCACGACACCATGGACTGAGAACTATTACAGAGTATTAAATATTTTGTTAACTACTCAAAATGCTTTTACTGTAAAGGAGTCTTTAAAATGAGTTCACTACTATATTTTTATTGTTTGGTGCATATACATTTATTTTATACTATGTCTGTGTGTGTATACTGTTTCGTCATAGAACAAATCATAGCATTTTCTTATATTCTTAGAAACACTTCACAAATGTCATTTTTAATTGCTGCATAGTTGGCATCCTGTGGCTATACAGAGTTGACTTAACCAATCCCCTATTGTTGGCCCTTTGAGTTGTTTCCAGGATTTTTTTTTTTTTTACAATTATAAATCCCATGCCTACTTTTAACCGCTTGCAAGTTGCCAACCCCTTAGCATGCTGTTGTGTGGAAGGAATGCAGGATAATTTATAATCCAAATAGCAGAGCAATGTTTAGATTATGGATTTACCACCCCCCCCCAAAAAAAGGCAGGAAATAAATGGCTTTAAAAGACCCCAACCATTCTTATGATGGTTGACCCAGAAGATGAAATCTTCTAGGTGGTAGAACAAAAAGCCAAGTCAGTGAGGCAGATAGAAATGAGAAGCATAAATGGGACATTCAGTGCAAACTTTTCAAAGCAATTAACGCCGTGCCAGCAGAGCTGAGACTGGTCGTTGAACAGACTCTTAAAGCAAATTAAGTAATCACATGTCATAAGCACAGACCACAGGAACATCCGCAGGAAGTTTCATATAAGAGAGACTGAGGGGTGGTTTCAGCTCTCAGTAGCGTTCTTACAGAAGACGGCTACCTAAGAGCAGTCAGGACCCTCGTGCCTTTAACATCACATCTGCCGCCCGAGGAGTGCCAGCATGCCAGGGGCCCATAGCAGGCTTCCACAGTCCGCCCACAGCCCCAGGAGCGTTCCTTCTCTGTTTTACAGACAAGAAAACTGGGCTTAAAGAAATGCGACAACCCGCCTAGAGGGTAAGTGGCTAGTAGGTAACAGAGCGGAGCCTCGTCTGATTTAAAGCACCTGCTGCTCCCAAGGTGGGTGTCTCTTCCCAGCGGCCCCTGGCCCTGGAGTTCATGCTGGTGGCATGACATCGGCCACAGCGGGGGATTTACGTCATGGGAGGCAAGTGCCACAACTCAGGGCTGCGTCTGTTCGTTGAGAGCTGACTGTTCACCACTACACTCTCCTGCCATCCTACTAATTCGGTGTGTCCATCAAGTAAAGGCATGCTTTCCTGTTGACGAAGAAAAGGAATAAGGCAAATGGACATGGAAGCTTTGTCTATCCAATGACACCAACCTGATTACATGAAATCAAACAACTGATCAACTCGATTCTGGATCATTAAGATCACTGACTGGGTGAATTCACTATCCAGGTCAGTGGTTCCCAAAGTGTGTGGTCTCCGGACCATCACCAGCAACATCATTGTCACCTGGGAATTTGCTAGAACTGGGGCTTCTCAGACCCTGTCCAGCCACCTGTGTTTTAACAAGGCCTTCAGGTGATTCTGAGGTTTGCTACAGGTTGTGAATCTCTGATGTAGACTAACCCCGCATTCTCCTTTTAATCATTTCTTTATTGCTGTCAAAATAGATGAGTTTTGAAAAGGCACTTACTAGAAAAATGCAGTGGTTACAAAACATCCAGAAATATTTTCCTTTAATTTTTCTTTTTCTCCCCACCCAAATTACACAGTCGAATTTCCCACATTTGGGGAAATTTTGGGGGTCAGCACATCCGGAGTGCAACGTGTGAGCTTCGCCCTGGGAAAACCACCTTTGTGATCATGGTCTCTCCCCTGTCAGGAGAATTTTCTTAAAAGATAATTCTATTTTTCTAATTAATTTAGAGGATAAAATCCAAGATGCCAAAGCAATTCTAGACTTGTTTATGCTTATAAATGATTGATTTTTAAATTTAGATATAGTCTCAGGTTAACTGGTTAAACAGTGGAAAATTCAGTTAACCAATTTAGTGCCCACTGGGCTGAACAACTGGTTTCAGTCAACGTGTGGCTGAACTGAAGGGCTGTTGCAGCCAAAGCCAAAGGAAGGCTGGAAGGAGCAGAACTTCTGGAAACTTCGGGTATACAAATGTGGAATGTGGAAGTCCTTGTAAATGACAGAACGGTTGACATTCTCTTCAGCCACTCCATCAGCAGGCATCTTTTTATGTCCTGGACACTGCCCTAAGCGCTGAGGATCGAAAGTAAGCAGGTTGCATCTTTAAGCTTCCGGAGCGCAGGGCTGCGTGGCGCAGGCCCACGTGTCAGAGTGTGAATTACAAAGTGGCCGCGTGCGGAGGGCACTCCGGGAGCAGAGGAGGAGGCGACTCAGTCTGTGTGCGTCTGGTGTTGGATGGTGGGGCTACCCACACCCCCCCAACCTGCTCTGGTCTCCATCTTTCCGTGTTTCTCTGTGGATCGCAAATACCTGTCATCAACTGCTAATAAGGCCGGTAGCCAGCGCCCTGTTTTATTCCACGCTCGGAAACATTGAAACACACCCAGCAGCGCCTCTGTTAAAACAGAGACTTCATGTGCGAGAGGATGGAGGCAGAGCTGGGGCCCCTGATGTTTTTCTTGGCAAGAGCCCTCGTTTGGATGGCAGAGGTGGGGGAGGTGGAATTTCAGAAGACACATTTTCCAAAGCGAACGTCTCCGGCAGGAGAGCGAGGACTGTGTTTGCTTTGTCTTCACGTTGTCATTTCGGGGTGGCAAACCCTTTCCCCATCAGGGAACACAAAGCACATGTTCTCCCCACACCGTGCATCCCTGCCTTGCTTTTCTCACTCAACCAGAAAGGCCTCTGACAAGAGGCCTGGAGCTGATGGCAAAATCTTGGGGTAGAAGTAATCAATCTAAAAAATACCAGAACAGTATTCCCATGGTTAGTCAAAATATACATACGCACACAGCATACATACAATTATGTCATTTAGATCATCTGCATCAGTGGCTCCATTTGAGAAAGAATGTAGGGGAAATAATTCCTCTCAGGTTGCATTTATGGAAAGAAAAATGTGAACCTTCATCTACAGCAGAATGTGCTATTCTTCTTAAGTACGTACCATAAAACATTCCTGGCAGAAACCAAAGAAGTGATAGAGCAAAAATGGAAACAGAGCTCACTGTTAGTTTATACAGTTATTTATAAATAAAGTTTATAACGTTTACAAAGAAAGAGATTGCATTAATGAATCCAGCAGAACTATAGAAATGGCCTGCAAGTTGAAGTAACTAGGATGCAGATTGTAGTAACTACAAGGGTAGAGCAAAGACTAGAGTCTGTTTATCAAAAATGGCATGGACACAATTAACAAAGTATCTTTGCGTTTGGCGGGCTGGCCGTCATCTCAGATGATCAACTCCCTGGGTGACTCTCCTGTCATAATGGCTTACCGAACACGCAAATCAAGACTTTTGCAGCTACTACAGTTACTCTCAAAGAATATCACAGTGGTGGAGTCACCGGAGACTCCATCACATACACGCACACAGACACAGACACACAGACTGCTTGTCTTTTTCCCCCAGTAGATTAGATTCCTCATGATCAAGTAACTGACAGAAAGAACAGATGGCCTTCCGTAAGCCACACGGAGCTTGCAACTCATAAACATGAAAATTTGAACCAGAAATTTACAGAGGAGAAGATAGATGAAAAGTTTCACACTATTCCTTCTGCAGAACTTCTTTGTTTCCCCACCTCTGGCCTCTTAACGCTGAGAACGATCCTCCCAAATCTTTCTGAAATTGACCCTCCATGGGGGCAAGTGGGTCCCGGTGGCGTGGGAGGGTTTGCTCTGGGGAGGTGTTTTCAGAAACTCACCCATGGTTCCAAGCCACTCGTGTACCGACCACAGGCTCTACAAGCAGACAGTCCTCAGTTCTACGTTAGGGTGCATGTGTCCAGAATCCGTGTGTAGCATTGTATTCATCATTCACTTGGAGGGAGCTTGCATTTGCCCAGAAGTCTGAGCGATGCCCACCCAACTTTATTTTCAGATTTTTTCGCTAAATAATTGCAAGCTGTTTGTAACAAATTCTTCCTGCTCAGTCTTTGCATGAAACCATAAGAGTGAACGACGCAAAGTCTCTCCATGGACATGGTTCCCATTACAAAGTGATTTAGGGCTCCAGAGAGGATGCAAAATATGGAAAGCAGCTACCCCCCGGCTCCTTGGGAGGAAAAACACTATTATTAGATATTCCATATTGTCATGAAGCATGATCATTGTGCCCAAAGGGAGCCACAGCCGCCAGAGACGCTGACTGTCCCCAGTTGGGCTGTCTGTGTCCCAAGCACAGAGAACGTGCCACCACCAGTCACCACCATGACTCCTTATGCCCCACCACTTGGGAGACATCAGGTGACATTTGAAGTCTCCATCTTCTGGGAGGCCCCCATTCAGGAGAATCTGTCATTTAGTCCCTCCAGGCTCCCTGGAGAAACCAGAGTGTCTCAGGGAGGAAATAGCTTCCTTTGATGAATCATCCTCTATGTGATACCATGGGGGTTGGTCCTTCACATCATTTGAATACGCTAACAACTCTGTGGTTGGATATTGTCATTTTATGCAAGAGAAAAATGACTCAAGGAGACAAAACTTAGCACTGAGAAAGGAAGAGGAGGGTCCAGGATCTCGACCCAGATCTGCTTGATTCCAAGGGCCCTGCTTGCCTCCTACACCATGAAGACTCTCGTTTTTGTCACGACCCGTCCTATATCCCTTGCTCCTAAACCTGACACATGGTGGACCCTTAATAAATACTTCTTAGAATGAAGCCTGTTTAAAAATTAGCAATGAGTAAGCCAAGTGACATAGAATCATGGACCCAGCTTTGACTATCGGTCGTCTTCATCAAGAAAATACACATGCCAGTAAATTTTCAGCGAATTTTCAAGTCTGGTGGGGGCTTCTAGATCAGACTCTTTGGGGCTCCAGGCTGGGTTTAGATATTTTAAAATGCAATTTAAAGTGCTTACTTCCATCGTCTGAATTAGATCAATCTTCTGAAAACTGAGTTGGGTTGCCAACACATGGGTGAGTTGCGGGGGACACTAATTTATTTGAAGGGGGCAAGGAAACAGCTCATGTAGTTGGTTAAGCCTAGGATCCAGGTCATTTGGGGAGACGGTGGAGTGGGGGGACCTGAGGAAAGTCTCATGGCAGAAAGAGTTGAGGGCCCAAGTTTGACTCAAGAACAGTGGGCCAGTGGAAAGGAGGGTGGCTCTGAGCATGCATCACAGTGGGGACCACTCGGCTGTCCTCAGCCCAGCCCCAGGGACCACTGCTGGGTGCTGGGAGGAGAGGATGTGACAGTCCCCTAAGCTCAGGGCCCGGACAGTACTGCATATGGGAGGGGGTGAGGCTGTGGGGCCCGGGTGATGACAGGCCTTCCTCCAGGGGTCCCTGTTGGCACCACATGTGGCCAGCATGTCAGGGATGTCATGGTGGGGACAGGACAGCCTCTGGGAACGTGGGTGGCCTGGGCTGCAGGGACACCAGGGAGAAACAGGGTGTCAGAAGAGGAAGATGGTGAATGTCAGGTGGCCCCCCAAAGGGCCATTGCTGAAGGTGTAGGGGATGCCTCCTAGGGACCACTGGCTGACTGGGGCCTGAGGGTCCCCCAGTGGAGGGAGAGCCAAAGATATATGATGATGTTTCTTCCACCGCAGGCTGGCACGTCCTGAGAAAACAGGAGATAAAACCCAGTGAGAATGATCAGCTTTAAGCTTCGGTTCTGAGGCTACGTGGCTTGGCTGGGGATTGGAGTGTGGCTAAGACTTGCAACCCCCGGGGGTCCTTGACAAAGGACTCCCCTCCAGCAGGCAGGAGGTCTGATCTAAACTGCCTGCTGTGTTAACAATGCCATCACAGGGTGAAAGATTAGGACCTGGGAATTTGCATTTAATAGGTAATAAAGCGATCATGAGGAATGCAGTGAAATAGTAGAACTCTGTGGCCAGGAAAAACCAACAGCACGTGATAAATGTGCCTCTGGCAGACTTGCAGAATCTGCATACCCAGCCTTGGACAGCAATCTTTAGGCTAAACTATGATCCTTGTGGCCCTGTTTGTCATAACTAGCCTGCCAGTCTGCAAATTCATTAGGCCTCATTGCAAAGGGAGACCTCGCCCTTGGCAGCACTGAGAAGTAAGTGCCCCTTTCGGACTCCCAGGCCAACCCCCGTCTGGCTCCTTAAGCATTGGCCCTGACCCTGTGTCCCTTGTGTCAGTTCAAGTCCTTGGAACAAAGCTATTCAAAATTGCTGGGTGGGTTCTGGGAAGCCGTTTGGTGACATGCAAAAGGAAAATGCCACCACACACATGCTTTCCAGCCAATGACCGCCACTCATGTTTCCTTTGAAAGCCACGAGGATCTGAGACTCAGAAGCCTGAGGGAGCCAGGTAGGGGCTGGTCACCCCGGGACTCGGGGGTGACCCGCCCATCACGCCATGTGGGCAAGTCTGTCCAGTGGTTCCATGTCTGTCCGTCTCCTCAGGAGGAGTTAGAAAGCCATGGTTAGATGCAATTTCTCCCAAGTTTTAAAAGTGTCCAATTACTTTTTTTTTTTAAAGAATTATATGGAACCAACAAAAATAACATCTCTACAGGCTGGATGTTCCTCTGTAGGCCACTAGTCTGAAGCTTCGGGATGACAGGGTGATTGAAACATCTTCAGAGAACACTGTGATCTTTCTGGATTCTTTCGTGGGGGCCCCCAGCCTCTCTATTAATAATCTTTCCAAGATGAAGCAAGAGCTCTCTTAACTGGGTTTTGCCTCGGGCCATCACAGGACACCATC